CCCCTGCAGTTATTCAACACGGGCAAGTTTCAAGCAACAATATACGGATGGCGGTACGTGGGAACCGCGTCGTCCTCAGTTATCTTAACAACAGTGATACCGTATTGTTACGACCACTATCGTCTATGCTCCGGAAAGTAATAACTGTCCGAGAAATTCTCTGTCGCAATAAAGCAATTTAAACAAAAGCTAGTTACAATGATTGTAATCTGAATTAAGAATTGTCTCTCATTTCTGTTATATATCAATATGCATATTTTATGCTCTTATATTTATATAATTTCCTATGTATATACGGTAAAATTTCAAAGCAACGCGCGCAATTTTATGATTTCTTCCTGTTCTTGATAAAGAGAAAGAAAAAGAAAGATCATTTAAAAAGATGTAAAAAATATATTTACGTTTATGATATGATAATATTTTTTATTCTTTACAGATATTAGTTCACTTTTTATTTGTTATTATTTGTGGTTGTTATTCGTTTTGCTTATTCTGTATTCTCAGCAATTGAAAATGCAATGTTACTGACAAATTATCTTCTTGTAACAACTAGTAGTTGGAATGATTTCTCATTACCTGCCGAGTTTTTAATTTTTCGAGCTCCGCATTTGTTAAATTCACCCGCGTATATCCCGCGAATCGCAAAACGTATACCCGCATGCTGTCTTCTCCCTTCGATTTGAGTTCGTATAATAAAATCGCTGGCCTGCTAAACACATCTGCTCTATCTCTTATCGGTCACAGGAAATGAACTTATTATTACATACACAAATCGTCCCTATCTGTTGCTGGTGAAACCGAGCGTTAGTCACACTCACTAAACGTCAAACTGAAACGTTTTCCCAAAATATAGCAGTGTCCAATTTCACATGAATTCAATGACTCAAATAGAAACCTTCCGGTCATGGCGTCAGTTCCAGGAAGAAACGCATTACGAGGTATATTCCCGCGCGAATGTATTTTACACTTTTCTAGGCGCATATCCGCAATTCTAGCTATTTTCATTTTCTTTTAAAAGATAGATATATATAATTTCTAACACAATTTCGTACGAAAGAGACTTATACGGAGAAAAATTTTTCTCTTTATCTCAGTTGTGAGATATTTGATTTTTCATAAAAAAAAAAAATAGAAGCCTACAAGAATAAAATCTTACAAAAAATCAGATATAGACATGGAAGAAAGTTAACCAGTTAGCTGAACAAGATTAAAAAAAAAAGAAAAGAGAGATAGAAAAATAGTGACTCACTTTGGCGAAGCGTTCCGTGTGCACGTGGACGCGCCCAGAACGTCGGAGAATGAACTAGAGAAACTATAGAGGAGGGAGAGATTTGTGCGAATGGGAGAGAGGAGGAGGAAAATATTCGTGCGTTCACGAGAGTGCGAGAAAGACAAACAAAGAGTTGAACGAACCCACGCGCGGACTGTTCCTTGCTAATTTTTTAAAGACCCACCTCCGACCAATATTTCTACTATCGTTGAAGCAATGGAGGCTCTACTGCGTAATAGAGGTGGATTTTCGCGACCAATCGCGAAGGCTCTCTGCAAGAGTGAGAGATCCATCGCAGATGTTCTCACGACGCAAATACGGCGTCTCTTTAGAGATCCTTTCGCCACGTAGAATACATTTGTGGTATCTCTCTGAAATGGAACGGATTTAAATCACCAATGAAAATCAGGTCAACCAATAATACTTTCAACTTTAAAGAAGTACTTCTTCTGGTGACTATTTTACGTAATGCGCGTATTTAAGATTGTAAATCATGAACATAAAAAAAATTCAGTAAGAAATATTCTTAGCCGTTTTTCGAATTTTAAGCCACATTGAAATCAATTCTTGTATCATCTAAAATCTATTATTTATCGTTATTATCTTTCGTATTAAAATAAACATCGATATTATATTTTATTATTGTACAATGTTTTTTATAACGCTATTTTTTGTATTAATTGTTATCAACGGGAGAAGTTGTGAGAGATACTAAAAATATTCGACAAAGCGTGTTAAATTTATTTTGATCACTGATACTGAGCTTAAAATTCCTTTAAAAAGAGTGAGATTTCTTTCCTTTGCTTGGAAATCTCATTCTAAAAAGAGAAATCTCACCAAATCTCCAAATCTCGTTCAAAAAAAAAAAAAAAAAAAGAAAAAAAAATCTGTCACTCTTGTTTAAGAGTACTAATATTTTCACTCTCTTTCAATAGTGGCCAGTTTTTTTATTCTTTTGAAGTGGGATTTGACTCCAAGAAATTTAGAGAGTAAAAATTTGTTTGGCAAAAAGCATTAAGATTCACTATCGATCGCATTTCGTAAGCCATCTATTTACGCTGGGATTAGAGAACCTATTATGAAAAACAAAGAATCGTTAACGAGGCATTTGCCATCGTAAAATTGCTCGTCGAGCATAAATACGCAGTTGGTGTAATTTCGGCACGTGTATCAGACTTCAAGGCCAGAACGCTTCGAGACATGGTACGCAAATAAAAAACAGAAGTATCGCAAATAAAAGCGACGGTATTACAGCGAAGGCACGTTCTGACTTTCAAAGTTGGATTCGGATAATTTATATAACATACGATAGTCACTGTTAAACGTTATATAAATTACAACATTATGTCATAATATTAATAATTATATTTGATGAAAGAGAAAAAAGATATTTTGATAAGTAAAATATAAAAAAATGAAACAAAATTAATATGATAAAAGATTTATAAACATTAAAACGCATTAGTTCTATGAAGAATCATTACCATTACATTCATTGAAAAAATTTTAAAATTTAGAGAATATAACTTTCACAGATCAACTTTATATTTCCATTTACTGAAGTAAGAACAAACAGTGCAAATCATTGTGTTTGATTTGTAGATTTTTTGGAGCTTTAAAATGAATTCTTCCTGTATTTGTTGCTGACTGTCCTGAAAACGGTTTACATGTTCAGTCTTGTTCACAAGTGAGTGTTACGAAAAGGTGTAATATATTACGATTACAACATAATGCCGATAGCTCTTTATATGGCACTGAGGTCATATTATCTCGCGAGAAAACGGAAACGACTAACGATTCCAGCAAAAAAAGAACGTACAAAATGCTCCTTATCTCTTGTAAACTCAAATAACACGTGACTGAATCGTGAATTAATTAAACATTTTGTTCTTCCTGGCGTGCTGTTGATTAATAAATATTACGAAAGAAGAACGACGCGATATTTTGTTATCTAAGCAATTGTTGATACTTACAAATACTAACTTTTCAGTCTCTGTAAAAGTTAAAATAAAATGAAAAAGTAACTGTGTTATTCATATATCTAACAAACATATTGATATCTCGGTGAAGATATCTCAATATAGAGTTACCTTGATGTATTACATTAGAATTGAGTTATTCAATATCAAATTATCGTATATCGAAGATGTTACAAGGAACATCAATACATTATTTTCGCGTATTACATCGGAATGTCACGTCACATAAGATTAATAAAATTTAAAGTAGCATTTTTCAAAGATATTTCAATGGTGAAACTGGGTCAGCCATCTCTTCTCATATACTCATGTTACGCGATGCGTAATATGGGTTTATAGGAAAAGCCAAGATCCAATTTAATGCCGCGTCGAAAAAAGTAGAGAAAACGGAAGTTAAGGATATCAGGCGTGCATTTTTGTGCGGCATGCGTGCTCTTTTCTAGGGAGACGCGGGAGCACGTGCTCGGGTGAGAGAGAGCACGCGCGTGACGTCAGCGTGCGTCTGGGAACAGCTGACCGCATTCCACAATAATTGTTTTGCATAATCGCGGTGGAAGCGGCCACTCGGTGGTAGCTTCACAGTGCCCGCGAACAGCGAGAAAGAGGCCGACACGAAAGAATGAGAAAGGCGGAGGTGGAGAAAGTAGAGGGGAGAAAATTCGAAAGGGCCTTCTCACATTGTCGAGGTGGGGCTGAGGGACGGAACGAGGTGGGAAGAGGGGAGGCCCTGGTCCAGCCGTCAATAGCTACGCGGCCCGACCGGCGCGTTGGCTTTTAAAGTTTAAAGATCCAACCGCAACGGCGACGGCGTCTAAGCATGTCAGAGGTGCTCAATTCCCGGCACCACGCCGTCATTAACTTTTATTCCCACGACGTACATTGGGAATATAAGTATAGAAAATATACTCCGAAGTGCGCAATTACGTATTTGCAATTAGATATTTCGCTTGGAATTTAAAACTCTTTTATTTAAAAAAATAAAAAAAAATAAAAAAAAAAGCTACCTTTCTTCCTCAAGAATTTTTAATCTTCTTCATATTAAACAGTTAAGGGTTATTCACCTCCAGTTAAGGATTATTCACCTTTCGTTGGCAATATTGGTCTTTAAAGGCACAGTTGATTTTTTTATTATGAATTTTGTTAGATAAATTTGAATCTGAAAAATAAGTAAAATACAATCTGATTTTTGTGATAGTAAAAACTCATTGTTAAGGTATGTATTTCATATAAAATATAAGTATATAAAAATTTTTTCAGATTTTTATCTGAATCAATACAAAGTCTGTACTGAAGTTCGAAGAATTTAAGTTGCAGACAAAATATGAAAATTTCACATCGCCGGAAGGCTAAGATAAAGATACGTGGAAGAAGAAAAAAATGTATTTCTTATGTGCGTTCTAGAGAAGATGACTCATCTTGTGATATCGATCATAGATATTTTCGAGAAGCATCAATGACTCGACATCACGAGAATCAAAGTAATTATAATTCAAAGCAGGAGCAAACAAGATCACAAAAGCACGGATAATGACGAAAGATCTCGAGATAAAATGTCTGCAGAAGAAGTTAAGAAGAATATTACGGAACGAGCTAGCACGAGATGTTTCCGACGTGTACGATCATGTTTAACAGCATTTTGTCACGTCTCTCGCAACCCATATTGCACTCTTTCGCGAAGATAGCGACTGCCTTTCGTATATCTTGTTTACAAGTACCTTAAGATTAGCGATCAGGATATTAGAAACTATTACCTTTTCGTAGAATAATTCTTTGGACCTGGTAAGAATATCCGCGAAACCTACTCAGCAGCTTCCTTTGACTCTGTAGAAAATTATAACGTACGGATTAATTTTATTTCATTCATATTATAATAAAAAATATATATATAAACTAAATACAGAGATACGAATGTTTTAACATGTTAAAAGATTTAAATAATTTACAAGTAGCTTTTAAAGAATGTTATATTAATATATTAATTTAATAAATTTTATGTAAATTTATTAAATTAATATATTTGTATTAAAAAATTGCACATCGTTTACACATTGGCTCCCTAAAATCTAATCTTGTCATATTTTTTCCTTAGAGATTTATCATCTTATTTTGATTATTGTAATATGAAAGAAACTATTACTATTCAGTTTGACCCATATAAGCAAAAGATAAATTAAGACTATAAGTGGAAATTAGATCAATAAAAATAAATGAAATAAAAAGAAAGAATTGAATTTTTGTGGTAGACGCATATCTTGATGTTTCTATATAATAATATATGTACATATTCATATGTAGATTTATAAATTTATTTTTCAGTTTTATAAATTACGCGTCGATTCGGACTTGAAACGCAATGAACTAAAGATGAAAATAACATTACAAATTACATTAATTATAAATTTAATTATTTTTCGCAATATAAGTTCTTTGCAATAATAATTCTTTGCAGTTAAGGTACTTATTAGCATCTCTCGTCATTAAATTGATGATCAATGCAATTTGTAATGTTATTTCCAACTTCAATTTACGATTGCGTTTCAAGTCCGACAAACCGGATCGCGCAATTTATGAAATTAAATGTTTATGTTAATTATTGATAAATTTTAATATTAAATGTTAATTATTGATAAATTTGCATATAAATATTATTGATATCAAAATCAGTTTTAACCGAAAATACTTTCACTTAAAAAATTAAGAGATACATGGTAATCTTAACACTTTTTATTCATTTATTTAATCGTGACTTATGTTACATATTCTTGACGACGTCAAATGATCGAATCGCTCAAAAAAACTAACGCAACGACGAAACTACGCACATTTTGTCGATGTAAGATATGCCGCGGCTACAGACAGCAAACTACGAGCGTAAGGCATTTTGCAATCCCGGTCGCACGTCTCCAAGAATGGTGTGTCGCGCACATAGTTGTCGCGTGACGTTGGCGGAGAAACGACGCCAACGACAGGCGACCCCGGGAATGGCGATACGGAGAATAATAAAAAGAGAGACGCGCCACTGCGTTGGTCATCCGCGGTTCCGTGAAAAACCCAAGCGAGCAAATATCACGCCGGCGTTAGTCTATGCGCAGTCGATTATATTTAATGCGATAATATTTAAGAACGAGCTGTTTTTCTGCAAATAATCTAGATGAGGTAGCAAAATTAATTTCCTTTTTTTTTATCGATGTATAATCTCAACCTAGCAGCTATAAATAAAAAGTATCAATTTTTTAAACATCTTATCGCTAAATCTGCATATAGAAAAAACGATTTTGCTAAAGTATCTAAAAACTTAGCTAAATACAGATCTCTGAAAATAACTTTTTCCATTCAACTTTTTCAATTATCAATTATAAGATATTTAAAGGTTAATGACAATGCTGTGAAAAGTTTCAGCAACCAGTTTTGAGTCTTCTGCATAGCTATTTTAATGATCCAAACACAATTAGCCAAAGTAGTAGTTTCAGCTAAATTTTTTATTAATTATAATTTAGATACTTCGGCAAAACTGTTTTTTCGATTGAATTGTCTAAGTTGCGATATAATTTAATTTTACATATTTAACATAATTATATAGGAATCCTATTACCTATAAACATAAAACTGCATTAATAGAAATCATATAGGATCGTTTATACAAATTTGAATATTTTATCTAATTTTAATTTAACGAATCCCTTGGCATTTCAAATTTAGGATCGAATTACGCGTTGCGATTCTTGAAGATATTCGATTCGTTACTATGTGATACCCGATACCCGTTACTGGTTTTCCTTGCGTGCCCGACTTTAACCACGTCTTTTCCTTCTTGCGACACCCGTTATCGGATCGGATGGATCGAATTAGTGGAACGAGATAGAACCAAGGAACGCGACCGAAATCAATTTCCTTGCGACCTTCACGACGACGACAGCAGCGACGACGGCGACTCGTAGACGAATTTTTGTGCGCATGGCGAGAGAGTGGAAGGCGAAGCGTTCGGAAGAGGAATATTTTTCGCGATAATCCATTTTATCGTTACATTCTGCAGAAAGATAGAGAGAGAGAGAGAGAGAGAGAGAGAGAGAGAGAGAGAGAGAGGATAAAGAGAAAAGAAAGAGAAAAAGAGAGATAGTTTGTTCGGTGATGTAACTATGAGCGTGCGACGCACATAGACTAGATTGCTCATCCGCAGTTTATTCTATACACAATTCTTGTTACCGGCATGCTATCACGCATGGACTATGCTCAGCGACTCACGATCTATAATCTAACGACAGATAGAAAGACAGAGAGAAAAAAAGAAAGAGAGTTCGCAAAGCGACATTTCAACTTTCACACTGCTAGATATCAAAAGAGCATTGACAACTCAATTCCTTAAGTTAAATAACAATTTTTAATTTCTATGTGACAAAATATAGGAATCAATCTATTTCTGTAGTTAGCTTCAAAATAAATATCGTCCATATTAACATACATTTAGCAAATAATAAATTAAATTTGAGTCAAATTTGATTATATATTTTCTAGAGTAAAATTGTTTAATTCCATTGTTTTAGTCAAATTGATATACTGAGTAGGAATAGCGGCGGTCTTTAAAAATAATTAAAAATAACTCAAATTATAAATATAATATAATTTGACATTATGAATTTTACAGTGCACAAACTCTAGATAGTGAATGCTAAATTTGACGAACTTTAAAGTGAGTAAGTTTTAATGACATGTTAAAAATAAAGATTACAGAAAACTATATGTACTCCGCTAAAAGTAACGATATCGCGCAATAATATGGCTTATGATAATCGAGCAACAATATTTTTTGCAATATTCAAATTAAAAAAATCAATAATGGACTACGTACCATGCCATTACATTATATGCATGATAATATATACATGTCGTTTCGGAATTATCTGATTACTCAGCATTATAGGAGCGAGATCAGCGAGCCTGACTTTAACCGGAAGTGGAGTATCGGACACGCAAAGATGCACAACACTTCGTTATAGCAAGTAAGAAAAACATCGATACTATCCACGAGGGTCTCTAGGTGTAACGGGGCGTCCCCCGTGTGGCGGTTACCACTGTGGGAATTCTAATTAGAGATAATGACGTCATTAAGGTCTGAGCCGCGACGAGACGGGACGGTCTGCTGCGCTTACTGTACATGCCCGTACCCTATTTTATATACGCAGTCATGTACTTGCACGCAAAATGTGCTTTGTTCCGAGAGCCCGCGCGTCCTACTCTCGCGCCCCGATATGCACCCGAGATCGTCGCTCTCTCACGCGAACGCACTGTTAAACTTGTGCTCCGAAACAGAGATTTACATCGCTCATTCATAAGCGGAAAGGGAGGAGGTGAACGTTTCATGTTCTCTTCCTTGTTCTCGTCTGTTGTGATAGGGCAAACGTTAAACTTGCATTTCTAACTGGGAATCGATTTTGCAAGATTTATACATATTTCACAAGTCGACATTTACTAGTGAACACTAAAAAAAGAATCTGAAAATAATTATCAAATATTATGAAATAATTTCAATGTTTGGTTAATGTAAATCAAAGATAATTTTTGTCTTACTTTCATTTTTTACGTTAAAGTTCATAATTGGTCTTAAATTTTCATTTTAACAATTAAGGGTTGAAACATTTTTCATTCGATTTGAGAATAAAGATACTAAATTTTTTATACGTTACATATTATATTGTTTCTTTTAACTATTTTTCTTGTTTACTTAAAAAATAATTTTCTAAATATTTAGTAATTATTTATTATAAATCAGTTACATAATTATGTTTGTTTTTTATATTAATACTTACTAAATATTTAAAAAACTAAAATTATTTTTGGCTATATTAATCAAAAATCTGATTGAAAAAAATTAATAAATTATTTCATTCACACTTGATATTATCATATTCAATAAGATGTTCTCTCTCTCTGTTTTTGCTTTGCCGATATTAATTACTTACATAAATTTTTATTAGCGACATTTCCGAGATTAATTTTCGAGAAACTTTCTCAAAGTGCTCAAAGATTATTGCTACGACATTTTTATTGAACTATGATTTCATCCAAGAATTCATGAAATAAATTGATTCGATAAGCATGAAATATATATCTTATGTACATATAATCAAAGCAATCCTTATATTGATATTTGCTTATTTAAAATTAAAATAATCGTTTCTATTGCGACTGTATCAATTTTGATCGCGAGGAACCAGATTCATCTTGTATTTAAATGTCATATTTTTCTTGTATAATTTTTTTTAGTCTTAAAGTGATTCGGCTGCCCTCATACTTTCTATGTCGTTATCGATATGTATTACTATCGTTTGGAAGCGACTCACACGGCACAGCCGCGTCACGTCCGGAATAGTAATCGCATACGAAAATAATGGCAGCGCCTGTTATCTCTCGTTTCTGCGCGCATATATTACGGCGCACGGAGTCATTTCGTGATTCATGACGTTGTTAAAGCAGTTCGCGGAATTACAGTAACGGATATGTCGGCGGGTTTGACTGCCGGACAAGACCGGAGGAATTTGTAAACATAACCGCGCGCGCGACAGAAATGCAAGAAATGCACCGTACAAGGTAATGCCGTAGTAAGAAAAAATATTTTAATTGCCTGCCGGCGATTTTTTGAAGGAATTTTCTATGTATCTTCTGTCATTGCAAAATCTTTTTAAAATAAATCTCTTGATTAATTTAAAAAATTCGTGGGAAATTTAAAAGATCAGCAAGTATTTAAGTGAAATTAATAATATAATATAAAATTATAAAACAAATTAAAATGAATGAAATTTCGTTCGAGTGATAATTACAAATTC